GCAAGTTAGCCCACTCAACCACCGGGCCTTAGCAGGGACATGTCTCATTTATTTACAGGATGTCTTTTCCCATGTGCCAAAAGCAGTTCTTCACGCAATTATAGGACATATAGATGGACATAGTGTTATAATGTCGCTCGAACTCTTTGGTGAGCAAATGTCAGGTTGGGTGTAGCCTTCCCACTCCTTTCATCCACTTCATCAGAACCACCCCGTTCAAATCTTTCAAGAAGTGGACAGTCCTCCCACCCTCCGCCATGCACCCCGTCTCACGTCTCGCGTCCCAACCCTTCGAGATTACGCGCATGGGTGGAGGTTCCCGCCGCGCGGCGTGTGGAACTGCGCGAAGAAGGTTGGCACCAAGTGGGCCCAGAATGGCATTCGACTCCAGAGTGCCGGGCCGTAGAGAAATTCAAAGCGAGCTCCTCAGTAGATTGACCAAAACACACTCAAAAAATATACGACCAAGGAGTTGATAGATGAAATTGAAAGAGCGACTTCTATTCTTAGACACATTGGAGTTTCAAGTTATGTCATTGGATGCAGGATTCCAGGATGTCTTGCTAGATGCCAAAAATTCTCCAGAACCCCCAGATTTTCAGGCATCACCGACTGGAGAAAGCTAGTGTTCACCCCATTGGAAGCACTGCGTTTTAGCATTAAAGTATATTAAAGTTCTGCAGAGAAGATCTGCAGAACCTCAAGTCAATCTGCTGTCCAGTATCACTGGACGGCGGTGCATGGGGCATCATAGATGTACCACGAGCGAATCCACCCACTTCTGTGCTTGGACCAAATCATGCAAGAGACTGCCTGTCCCGGATCTCTTGCCAGTCGGGGAATTCCCATAACCCCAACACCCCGGACTGGAATATATGCGGTGACCAAACCATTCCCCAAATCTGGACCCAAATCCCTCCCAAATCAGATCATCTCATTCTTTGGGGTATGTCCCCAGGGTCCCAGAGTCTAAGACCCTGAAAAACCACTCCTGGTCGTTCCCTCGGAGTTGGGGCTCCCCAGCCCCGGCGGTCGCTTGCGACCCGAGAGTGAAACGCTTCTGGAACGATGAATCCATTGTTTTTCTTCAGGATCAGCGGTCAAAACCGGACGGACTCTCACAGCTGTTTTCTTTGCGATCCGTGAGCAGTGGGAAACAACAGGTTTTACATGGTTTCACAGGGGAGAGAAGCACAAAAAAGGACACGTCTCGGTTGGACTTTCAAGCCAGGCCCAGGCAGATGTCAAAAGTAACCAACCGTGTTAAAAAGGCGTTCCTGTGCTGGGTATTAAATCGGGTGCGTCGCAAGGGGCCTCATGTCCAAGCAAGCTAATTCATCAAACCATGACACACTTTGTTGGGATGAATAAAAGGGCCTCTTGGGCCGTGTTCTTTCAAAGGATGAACATTCAATTATCCCATTCCCTGTAAGAGTGGATGATGATGGTCAGTAGAGGCCTTTCTCAAGAATAGTGACATATAATATTTTAGTGACCGTCACAGGTCATGCGAAACACACAATGCATAGTCCCATTTTGTTCACCACCCAAAATATGCTCAAACTTCCTACTACCGCTACTACAGTACTAAAAACCATGGTCAAGTATTATAAATGGACTCTAGGAGTATGACACAAAATTCTTGAATACTTGGATGAATTTCTAGAATACAACGCTCTGGAAATACATTCTCAAAAACCATGTGGGGGATTTGGGTGAAGGCTCTCGGCTCATCTCGGCTCATCTCGGCATTTCGTACCGCGGTTCCTCCAATCGCTTCGTACCACCGAGCGGCGCAGCTTCCAACACTCTTCTCGAAATCCTCGACATGCGGGTAGACGCAGACATGCAATGTTTGGGCGAACCTGCCCGGAAGGTTTTGGGTGGTGAACATAGGTCTATGTCTAAAACATTTTCATGCTAATCAGGCCACTGATTTGATTCAGGCCACTGAAGTGTACATCTTAAATTTAGACCGAAAACCCTCTCTTAAAGCCTCACAGAGAGCCCTCCATCCAAACCACCCCCAGAGCAGCAGCACTGCCGCAGCGCAGCGGCCGCGTGAGATTTTTTCCGCAGGGAGCCTCAGCGAATCTATTATGTTCCTAGCAGATCTCTTCAGGATCATCTTCCACCTCCTCTTCTTCCGCATTCTCCCCCTGATCAGGCTCATCGGCCTCATCGGCACCCTCCTTCGTTTGGTCTCCACCCTTCTCATCTTCAGGGGTTGGTGGTGGTGGGATCATCAGATCCAGCGTCTCCTTCCTGGGAAGCACTTTGGCACATGGCTTGTTGCCACCATCTAGCTTCTCCAACATCATCACCTTGCGAAAGAGCACGAAAGAACAATCCATGAATTTTGGTACTTGGACCTAGGAGCCGATTCAGCAAGTTGTATTTTGCCTAGTCTAGCCAAGTCGCGGAAAGGTTCTTGGCATCTTGAATTGATCCACCCTTGACGACTTCAGCATGTGCCGCATCCTTGCAACCCAAGGAACCCCACTAGGGAACAATAAATGTCTTTTGTGCATAAGAGGAGGTTGAGGAGACTTAGAAGAGAAATGGCAAAGCCACTGAGTAGGAGGCGATTATCTCTTTGACCGCATCCTTGTCGTACTTCGAACCACCAACCTTATATGAGGCAAAAAAAATGCATGCCACCAGCATCCACCAGTACCCCGAATGCCAAAACTCGAGAACACCAGCCGAGTTGCTCGGACCGCTTCGCTGCCATCGACTTTGAAGGCCCAAGTGCCATTGGTGTAGCAGTACGGGTTCCCGATCTTGCTCCCACCTCCGGGCCAATAACATCCAATCACAACATGTAAGATGGGGATGATGAGACAACATGCTTGTTCAATGACACTAGAGCGTGCCTCCAGAGGCTGCTGGTCGCTTTCTTGGTGGTTTTTCTTTTTCAGGTTCCTTCTTGGTATTATCAGGTGTTTCTGAAGCGGCTTTCTCAGGTTCAGCTTTCTTGTTGGCCTTGGCTTTGCGCTTAGGCTGAACCTTTGCCTTGGCCTTGGCCTTGGCACGACCAGTACGACGACGAGGCTCGTTGGAACCTGTCGCAGTCACATTCTTGCTTGAACTGGGCTCGGCAGTGGTAGGTTTTTCCTTTTTCACCTTCCCTTTCACTTTCGGCTTCGCTTTTGGTTTCGGAGTTGAATTTGGTTTACCGGTTTGTCTTCCAGCATCCGGCTCCTGCAGAAACTTTGGTCATCTGACTGAGTCATTGAGGAAAAGAAATACCTAATCCCTGAAAAGTTGCATTTATATACGACTACATTGAAGGATGGATGCTCCAGTGCCCCGGTCTCCTCTTCTTCGCTCTCGGTGATCTCTGCGACACGTGGTAGGCATGGCATGGTGATGGCCGCAAATGATGAGGCCAGCAAAACTGACTGAAAGATGTTTCAGTCCCGCCGCTTGATCTGGGAACGGGAAGAGCAGGCAACTTTGGACTAGCCCACTCCATCCAACTGCGAGTTCATTATGACAAATTTGGACTTTGGTGACCCTGGTGCTCTCTTTTTTGTCCACCCCTGAGTGACAGCGTGCGTCGAGGTTGTCTTGACTCTTTGGATGCTACCTGCCGTGTATAGACATGTGACATGCTACTGGTCCAGTTACATTCAATTGAGTTTAAGCCTGGAAACAGGAAGTGCCCATCTATGAGTCAAGCACTTGCTCTAAACTTTCCACGGAAAGTCGTTCACGGGCCCAGCTAGCAAAATGGCTACCATCTATGCGCAAGAGGTGAGCTGGTACCAAGTTTTTCCAGCCATCTCCAAGTTGCAAAGTAGCCAGAGTTTTGGCTTTACCGGCATCACTTTGGGAGGCACACCAGTGCCCATGTTCACCTAGGATTTTGACAAGGGCCCCAAGGGGGTTCTGGGACCTTTGTTGAAAGATGTTGAAAGGTTCCACACTATTTGGCTCAAACAGAAAGAAAGAATCCAAAACAAGCTTGAGAATTGGTTGAGGGGCTTCCCAAACCACTCCAGCCCGCTTGTTATTGCAGAGCTTGTCGAAGTTCCCGTGGTACGCTTGTCCAAGGATTTGGTGCTTCACATTCAGAGGATCTTGAACATCAAAATTGTTTGGTTTCAAACAGTTTGTTTTTTCTCCGGGTGCCGGCTGCACGTTGTACCGAAATGGTGCAGGCATGGTCTCCTCTCCATCAACTGCCTTGGGAAAAGAGGAGATCGGGGGGCTGGGAGCCTGAGAAAATGAACAGCACCGTATTTTGCACAAGCAAAACGCAAACAGGACACCGGTCGCATTTTCTGGGTCAACATGTGGTCTAGAAGTTGTACATCGACCAAGCCATGCTTTGAAGACATTTGCTCTAGCACAGAGCAAAGTGGTGTAAGCTTTCCATCCAAGCAAACAAGCTCCTTGTCATCCGACAGCCTCCAAACTACAAACTTCTTGTAGTGCTCAGACGCAGGGCCTGAAACGAAAAATTGTTTCCAAAAGGTCCTAAGCCACAACATCATGGTGAGGAACTAGCAGCTAGCAGGAAACAAATGGCCTCCAACGCATTTCTCCTCAAATTCACCAAGCCCAAAACCAAGGATTGGAAATGGTGCCACCTTCAGCATGTCATCTCCCTCGTTCCCAATCCAAAGCTTGAAGTCAGTAGTCACTACCACAGAGGGACGGTCGCCCTTTCCAGGGCACGTCGCAAGCCTGCCAGGCGTTGCATAGATTTTTGATAGGGATGATGTTTCAAAGATGCAGGTCACACATACCACTCATTGACATGATTTTCAAAGACCACTGAATCATTCCTGTCCTATAACTAGGAAGGCCCATGTCCCCAATTCTATTTAAACATTATCACCGTGTTTTCAACGACCTTGCCTCTGGGCTGTAAACTCAGCAGTTGGCACGCCGGGCAAGTCCAACAAGCGGGTTGTATCCAAAGGCTCCGCACCATTGTCAATGCTGTAGTCTGGTCTCGCAGATGACCTTGAAACACTTGCCTCCCCGACTTGGGCTGGTGTGCCGTGCGCAGGACATAGCTCCAAGAACTTCTGGCGCTTGGCGTCAAGAGCCTTGAACTCAGAGGTGTCTGGAGGGAATCGTGTTGTCACGGAGTCTGGCCACGTGATGTCACCATTAGCGGACATGCTGAGAACCTTGAACCCAAGTGGCTCACTGCTCTCAGCTTCCTGTGGGCGGGTCTTTGGTCCCGACTCCGTGCTATCATCCCAGTGTTGATACACAGTAGCCGAGATTGCCTCCTGCACTTTAGCTAAGAACTCCTTCTTCACAAAGCCTATGTAACGAAGCTGTGGGAGGGTCTTGTCCAAAATGCACTCCGCCGCAGCACGAGCAAACTCACAGTGCCTGATCCAAACATTGGATGAACTCAACAAAAACCTTCTAATTTTCACCATGGAACCATTTACAGCGGTCCAAAGTAGATTGAGTTCGCAAATTAAAGATTACGCTGCCTCCCAAGCCCTTCCCACCTGTTGGGGATGATGTCAACCCACAGATAGTGGTCAGCATCGCGCAAGCCAAGGCCATTTGCGTAGGACTTCAAAATTTCCACATGGATCGGCAACCCTTTCCTCGATAGACACATCGCGAACCAAAACAAAATTGCGCTGCATAGGTGAGTTTTCTTTGGAGGGGTCAAACCTACTACCTTGGAACCCAAAATCTGCTCTTGGGCCGGGCAAGACTCTGCTCGGTTCTCAAGCCAGCGCTCATGCTGCCATCCTCCATATCATAGCCGAGCATTTGGGAAGTCTTGATGAGTGGAGCTGGTCCAATCGTAGATGACCGGATGGGGTCCGACTCGCAAAAGCTGCTTACCTTGAAGTTGGCACTGTGCGCTGCAATGCAAGCTTGGGATGGCTTTCTGGAATCATTCCTTTGCGACTCTGGCTTGGTGAACCTGAGAACCACCATGTTCCCAACATCGAGTTTTTGGCCGATGAGGTTGTCCTCCAGGGTCCTCTTGTGCTTCAGGACTGTGGCGGCATTGGTCGAACTCTGAAGTTGGGGAAGCTGACAGTGACAAATGTTGTCCTGTGACATGTTGACGATGCTGCAAGTGGCATTCACAGCAGCTCCCAAGTAGGCAGCGTTGCTCGGCCACAATGTTGTGTCCAAGCCCACCACAGTGTACCTAGGGTTAAATAAAATTGAAAAAAGCTAAAGAGCCATGCTTTGCTTCATTGGTATTCACGATCATCACAATCCTTAACATCAAGTCTCACCCTAACGCACTGCCAAGTGACCTCCTCCCTGAAGAGTTTTGGAACTTCGAGGTAAATGTCGCAAACTCACTCATTGCCAGAGACAGCTTCTCATCCGTTTCGACCAGGACACAGTGCTGTTCCATCCAGCTTTGTACCCACTTTGTCCCCTTCCTCATCGCGTTTTGGTCAACAAAGAATCATGGAACAGCGCTACAGAACACCCAAGGACGAGCACGAAACGTGGAACAAATCTTAGGCAAAGCTGAGGGACTGCTGCCGATCTCTGAGAAACTTTGCATCTTGCACTGCAGCTGCTGCCTCTTGAGCTTTGGACTTAAGAACCTTCTGCTCAAGAATGGACATGTCATGGTCCAGCTGAGCGCTCAGCTGCTTGAAGGTGGCTGCGATCACCTCACGGGCTGCTTCCTCCTCCTTTTTGTCCATCTCAGCGCTGTGCATTTTGTTAAACTTGACAAGGTGGGCCCTGGCGTCGGTATACGGTTGTTTGTTGGAAACTTTTGATCGGCTGAACCATGGCTACCCAATGCCAATTTCTTTTAGAGCTTGACACCCCAACTCACACTGATTGGTTTATGCTGACCAATTACTCACAGCTTGATATGACACTGCCTCATCGCACCAATAGCCCCGACATCACCCGGAGGAACGGAGCTTTGCAAAGCCGACAAAAGGTCAGCGTCCAAAAACTGGTCGTAGAAAGCTGTGTCCAACTCCTTGGAGAGGTCGGCCCATTCGCCCTCTGGACACGTGGATTGCATCATGGCTTTGAAGTGGATGTAGGCGCCACACGCCTGATGTTTTCCAAGAGCATCCTTGTAGTTCAGTGGCTTTCGGATGTCCGGTGGGCTTCTCTTGAAGTCATTGATCACCCTGTCCAGAAACAAAGATACCTTGGCGCGACTATCCCTGGGATACAGCCTGGAACATTAAATAATGTTGCAACCAAAAGAACCGCGAATCATTTCAACAAAGTAGTCCTGGGGGTGGACTTGTGCGTTCTCTTAATTTGTCGCAGCTAGGCTACCAGTGGGTCAGTATCCTTCGAGCTGTTTGTCAGCTGCTTGGCCCATGCTTCCATACCGGGTGTGACTGAAGAATACCCTCGACTGAAGCACTCACGAGCTATGACGTCGTGGTAGATAAATGCCCTCATCCCATACCGCCTCACAGCCTCCTCCAATTTCTCGCGGATGGTAGTGTTCATCCCAGTGCAAAGCTGCACGACCGCTTTGCTCTCGGTCTTGCCGATAGCAAAGGCTTTGCAAATAGAGGTCTCACTCTCCCAGTCCTGAAGCAAGCCAAGTGAGAGAGACAATTGTTTGGGTCCGTAAGTTTTGGCAAGCCTTTGATACCGACTAGAAAAACAGAAACTCATCGGTTGAATCCAACTGTTGGCTCAATTAGGCCATGCATCTGCGAAGTGTCCTTCCACTGAGGTCGCATTGCTTTTCTGCAGCACGCGGAGTTGTCGAAGGAGGTTAAAGCAGTGAGGTGCTCGACGGACTTGGGTTGCCTGGAGGGTGATTCCTTAGCCACAAGCATGCCGAGCTGGCAAAAACATATTATCAAATAGTTTGTTGGGGGGAGTCATCTCTTACAAGTTACCCCAAATATGATACTCAATTTGAAGATAGACGAACAATAGTGGTCCATCATGTTGTTTTTCCTAGGCTCCCCGGTTGGCAAATACTGTGCCCCGCATGGAGTCAAACTTGACGACCGTGCAGTAGATGGTTGCAAAGCTGTCCTGAAAGTTGCATAAAAAAGCGATCCGGAACCGTTGATAGTGGCAACGATGCTGGGAGTTTATTCACCCAAAGCTTGCTCCTTAACATGTTTTGGAATCTCGGCGATGCACCCGAGCTCCCGGATTGCTTGACAGATCCCCAACAGTGCCAAACATCTCCGCCAGCCCTTCACAAAGGCGATGTGAAATGGTGGAGCCAAAGTACCTTGACGGTTCAAGGGTTGCCCAGGATTAGCGAAAGCATTGTGTTTTCCTAACGCCTTGGAAAAACATACATAGCTTGACCAGCGAGCAACCGTTCAATGGTTTCATAGGTGTGTATTCACGCTCGAGCCATTCCTTTGACACCTTCGTGATTGAGATCTTCTCCACCCCTCCCAGGTCTGCATTTGTGCGAAACCTGACGCCAGGGAACATACCACAAATCAGAATCACTACAGGAACGACAGGCAGTTGAACCGCAACCAAAAGGTTTCCAAGGAACGACTCCGACAAGATAAGCTCCGAAAGCAGCAAAAGCTGATCCGGCTCACTGCATCCAGCCAAGCCAAAGTCCGGTCTCCAGCTTAGCTGCCAGGGTCGAGCTAAGCACGGGCCGGCAGTGTCCAAGCAGGAGGCGGTGCAGTATGTTTTCCTGGCCGGGAAGGATGGTGGCAGCATGTGGCAGCACTAGACTAATACTAAGAGTTGGGTATCATCAAAAATTCAGCTCAGGCTTTGGCGACGGGTCCGGTTCAAAGGTTGTGTCCAACCACTTTGCGAAGTCCTGCATTGCAGCCTGAACGATAAGAGTCGCTTTCAAGTTTTTCAATCGGCCGTACTTCGAATGAAAGGAAAATCAGGGTCGAACTTCCAAAACTCAAATCAATTAGACGAGTCTTTGATTTCATTGCCCCAGTCAAGATTCAACCAGTCACAACAATCACCTCTCTTTGCCCCGGTGCCTTGTTCGAATATTTATTGGTCAGGTATGCATCGACACCACCTTCTGAGATCATGTTCTCAGCGATCCTCACTCAGGCTGGCTGAGCATGTTAGCGAAAGAGATTTCAGCACATGCAAAAGAAAGGCAAAGACCCATCATTAGAGGAACAGGCGAGTGGCCAAGTTGTGATGTTTTGGACATAGGCTGGTTTGGGAGCCGCGTCTCCGCTTTTCTGCTGCTTTGTCTTTTGGTTTGTTTGGCTTCCGTTCGACGGTTTGCGCTTACCCATCGAGAGTCAGGCACTAAGACCAAAAACGACCCAAGACTTAAAGTCTTAGAGCAAAATCCTGCAAAGGTATTATTCCAACCAATTGATGGTTTGCACGTGCTTGAGGATGCAAAGTTGAAAGGGTGCAAGACAAACTCGAAGCGTTCCGCTTCTTTTCTACCCGTTTGCAGGCCGCTGAGCCTTGAACGAGCCTCGGTCTGGTAGAGATGACCTGGGCAAGGGAGATTTAACTGTCGGGAAAGGATTCATTCAATAGTTCAAGGAGGTTGCAGGTTCCCATCCACCACTTAAAACCAAGGTGTGTCCGGTCCGGTGTTATCCTGTGTTCTGGATTTGACCTGGTCTCGACTTCCCCATTCCGACGAATTCCCGGATTTGACATACCCCATTCCGACGGATTTCTAGATTTGACATACACCATTCCGACGGATTTCTAGATTTGACATTCCCATTCCGACGGATTTCTGGATTTGACACCTCCATTCCGACGGATTTCTAGATTGGACCTATCCATTCCGACGAATCCTACCTAGGATTCATCAGAATGGACTCATCAGACTCAGCGCCACCAAATCCGCACAATTCATCACAATGGCAGGGTTCCCCAAGTTGATCTGATTCCGATGGATCCTAGGTGTGATTCATCAGACTGGCGACCCCCAAGTCAAGAAAATCCACACTAACAAACCCTCCTGCAAAAACTTTTTGATTCCCAGGAGCCTGAGTCCGATGAAAGCCACCTAGGATTCATCACAATGGGCCAGCTTGCCACGCAGCCCAATATGTCCACCATTCCGATGAAAAGTCATCAGGGACTCTAGCTCATTCCGATGAATTTTCAATGTGCCATTCAGCATTGTCACGGCCTGGCCGAAGCTTTTGCTTTGGCTCGGCACTTAGCTTTGGCTTTGACCTTTGGCCAAGCCTTTGCTTTGGGGGATCCAGCTTGCACAGCTTTCCGTGCAATGGGAAGAGCCTCACTCCAAGGGAGGCCCCATGCCCAAGCCTGCGCGGCGATGTCATAGACCAAGGTTTGCTTCGCTTGGTTAAAGTATTGAGTGATGTGCTGCCTGTCGGTTTGCCCGCGGTTGATCCTCAGTAGGTACCGGTGAAATGCACCTTGTCCAAAGATGTCCAAAGCCACTATTCCCCAACATCCCTGGCAAATTGCTTTGTACATGTCCCTACTACTCCCTGGTACTGTCCTTTGGATAATTATGAAGGTGGAGAAACATATTATTGCCATGCCAAAGATTGAGCAATTTCTGCCCTCGAGCTACAACAATATTTGTTGAAAAAGGACAAGCGGCTTTACTATGTTCTCTCGCTGAACCAAGGATTGAGGCGCCCATTTGCTTGCCATGCTGCTTGAGGCTCCGGGTTGAAGAACTTCAAACCTTTGGGCGGTTTGCTTGACGACAGCGAGCGAACATGTGCCAAAGTTGAAATTATCAGAATATATCAAAACCAAAACCAGTCCTTGGAAATAGAATCCTTTTGTGGAGGAGTCTAGGAACGCGGAGACATCAAGGAAAAGATCTGGTGGGAGGTCGTCGTTTACCCACTGCTCCAAATGATCAGCTGCCACCCCCAACTCGAACTCGGGAGTGCGCAGCATGGGCAAGTGCTTCTTCACCATATCAACGAACTGTTTGGTCAAGGGCCGCTTTGGACTTTCAGCTGCAGGGTCACGAATCAGGATGGTGATACGGCAAGTTTATGAGTTAATCCATTCGAAAACAATGAACAGCATGTCATGTCCCTCATGTGTTGGTTGCCCGTCTTGCACCTATTGGCACTCCGTGAGGATAAAGAACTTCAGCCACTTTGCGGGGGTAGTGCAGAAACTTCCCGGTGTAGTTTGTGTTTGCCATGTATTGTTTTGTCCTTTGCGAAAACACCATCGTAAGCGCATGAGCAAAACAGATTGCCCAACAGGATTTCAGACACCCTTTTTTGGATTTAAAAGGCCAAGCATCAGCAAGATGATGTCCTTGGGATCTTCAGGCGCTCGTGCCCAAAACTGGTTGTCGACATCAACTAAGAGGTCAGAACCTCAGGCCGCAACACAGATTTGATATGGACGTGCAGTTTGCTTTTTGGATCTATGAAAAAGCTGTCAGAAATAGATGGGGGCCATAAGAACCAAATCATTATAGCCAATTGCGAGAGACTTAGACTTTCACGACGTTGGAATTCAAAATGATGCGGAGCTCCGGGTCCGGAGATGCCAGCAATGAACGCTGGTACAGCAGTCGCCAAGAAGCCCCGCCTGAAACAGAGGGGATTGAGTACACTTCATCAAATTAGTTTTTATGAAAGGTGAACGGATACATATCGAAACCTTTACTACTGGGTTGGGCCAAAGGTCCAATCTCTTACGCGGTTCAGTTCAAAAGCCAGTCTGAAGGGCTCGTAGGGGAATGGGCTCTCTTCAAGAAACTGGTTGATCAGGGGGACAAAGTCTTCAGGGCGAAGGGCTGTGGGTTTCTTCTGCATCCAGCATGCTAAACGGCCGAAGGCTTGATCAATATCTTCGTGTGAATGACCTGTCCTTAGACAGGCCATTACACACGAGGAGAAGATACCTTCAGGGAAGACAGGTAGACAACAAGCCCGAGCGAAAGGTGTCAGTTCTTTGGACATTTTGATTTTGAACCTTGGGAACTGGCACCATGGCACACCTCGAGAGGTCATAGCTGAACACCACCTTGCCAGCGTGTTGTTTTTGGTTTCCCGAACGCAATTGTCACTTTGTATGTGGCAGTGCATTTTCGATAGGTCTAAGTTGAACCGCTTCTGCACCATGGTAATCGCAATCGAGATAAACTCGCAGTGATGGTTGCTGTCCTTCGCCGCGTCTGCACGCGATACTGCAAAAAATGTTCCATACCCGTGGATGCGACAGGCAACGATGTGAGCTCTGGGGCGAGAGAAGTTTGCCCACTGCTTGCCACCCATCACAGCAGCTCTTGGGTAAGCGAACTTACCCTGATCCATCCCGTCTACTATCAAACACAGGACGGGTGCGAGCAACCGAGCCTGTGCTCGAACACTCCAGTACGATAGCCGATCCCGGTGTTGATCGCGAAGGTGACCCTCATAGTGGATAGACTGTTCACGTCGGGCAAAGAGGTTCTGGGCAAAGGAACGCAAAAGAATGCGATGTCGTTGACAAGTAGCACACTCTAAATGTTGCCGTTTGGTGCGGAAAGTCATGAATGGATATTCAGTGGTCCAAGCCTCAAGGCAAAAAGCACACCAAGGCCCCTGAAAGACCAACAGGAGGAGATGACAAGTAACAGACTCAGACTAACCACCGCCGGGGCACTCTGTAGAAAGTGGCGAAAGAAGCCGGCTTCTTTCCCTCTGGATACTGCGATATCATCATTTGATAATAGTCGTGCATCCGCCCAGGGGGCAAAAAGCGCTGCTCCTTGTCCTGGTCTCGGTTCACTCTGAGACCTCTTTTAAAAAGACGTGGCCCCTTCTTCTTTCTCTCCTTCTTTTGCGCCGGGTTCCACGACACAGAAGGGGTAACATTCAGGTGCTCTTGGGTCAGCGGTTCGTCACCTCCCTTTTCCTGCAACTTCACAGCTGCCACGATGTCATCCTCACTCCTGGTGTCTGGCAGTGTTTCTGCCACGCTTTGGTAGATAGATTCCAGGAAGCTTATGCATTCTGCAGTCGCTTCAGGAGATTTGTCCAATGTTTTCTTGATGTAGCGCATGTCGAGCGGTGCTGAAGCCTCACCCCGATCTATGGCCTCTTTGATCCGGCGATAGCGACAGCTACCTGTGCATTCAAAGTCCAATCACAAAACCACTGTTGGTATCTGTTGGTTTGTTTTGTTAGACCATCATCATCCACTACAAACCCCAAGAATCCTACAAGCCGAAGACCAAAAGTAACCTAACTCATTGTACTGGGTTGCCAAGCCCATATAGTTTTCGCCAAGCGTTGCCACATACTCGCTTGCCCAAAAGGAAATGCTTCCGGCGCTGAGGTTTTGCTGAAGTGTTGCTGAAGTTGGTCTCTGAGTACTTGAGCCGCTCGAATACCTCAAGGCAGGCAGGAAGCTGTAGCCACATAAGAGTGAAGGAGTTGGGGGGGTTCTTTTGAGGCGATGGAGTGAGGTGGCCAAGTGAATCAGAACGTTTCAGAAAGAAACAAAGCCAACAATTTATTAAACAACACTCCCTAGGTGCAACTTGGTCTTGATCTAGTTTGTGCAGGTTGCGAAACAGGGTTCTGTGGGTTTGAAGCTCCTCGATCATATTCTTGAACTTCACAAAGCAAGTCTCCTTGGGTCTTCTCTTCACCCTGGAGCACTGGCAGACTTGGTTCATGAGGCTCCGCACATCTAGATCCTTCTTGGTAGGCAGTTGCCGGCCGCATGCCTTTGCCTTCTTGACAGGCTGCACGGGAGCCGCAACTTCATCTTCGGAAGAGGTGAGCTCCGTGATGGGGGGCAAACTCGCCATGACGTGCCATGACTAAAGTTTGAACCCGATAGAGCGATATGAACTGAACATAATCTAAATCTAAAGAAGACGTTTCAAGAGCAACTGAGAACGAGGGTGTCCGAAATTTGGGGAGGTTTTTGAGCACTTAAACTCAATATGGTTTGCCAGTCTTAACCTTAGGGATCATTAGGGTGTGACCTCCAGAACAGAGCTCTGAGACTCAGACCAAGTCATGTGCGCACGGCAGCAAGGGGAAGCCGCTTGCCACTGAATGTTCAACGGACGTGAATTAAATGCTGGATCGAATTTCTCTGAGCTGCGGTCTTACTAACAGACTGAAAACGTACTGTTATGTGTTATATTGACCATTTGGTTGACAAACAGTAACGAAGCTACAACATGTTACGACTATGGCCTATCTATTCAATAGTAACCTCACTGCAGCGCAGGCAACCTGGAAACAAACTGTAGAGCGGCGGCTGCCTGTGAAGGCACCACCACATTTCCACATGCATGCACCCGTTCCTCCCATTCATCTTCATGTTCAGGGGAAGGCAACAACCAGTCCCGAAGTGGCTTCTTCGCCAAGGGGTTCCACTCCGGAGGTAGTAGGCTTGAAAGCGGCTTCAGCTCCAACGCCTGGCGTGACAGGTGAACTGAAAGCTCCATGCATGCCCCATAGCCCGCAAGAGATTCTTGAGCTTAGCACCTTGAACAGCTGGAAATTTGGGCGATGAGCAAAGATGAAGACTCGGTCCCGCCCTGCCTGGCCGAACAAAGTGTTTTTTAGCGTTCCCAAAACAATCAAGCACAATGAAATTGCAGAAGGAGATTACACATTTCCATGATCCGCTAAGGTCTTAAGTTGAAACTTCATCCCCACAGTTGTGTTGGTGCGCGCTTGCAGGTGTACTGTGCACATTCAGTGGTTGGTTAAACACATGCCAGGCAAGCTGCAAGTCCCACGTGGCGAAGCTGCAGGGTGGCCCACTTGATCTGAAATCCGAGATCAAGACACTCCTGCGTCAAATGTTGGTGCTTCATGAGTGCTGTAGTTTCAGTTATAAGCTTGTCATCATCATCATAAGTATTGAACTGTTGCTGTTGCTCACTTATCCTTTCGCATCCAACATCATCCAACATCACGCAGTTGAGTCATGGTGAATCATTCATGTTGATACTTATGCCTGCCATTCCCCTCTTCCTGACCTAAGGCCCAGAAAATAGGACTACTGTTTGAACATAACTACTAGCTGGCCAGTTTGACTATGCTCCTGCATGATAAACCACAAGAGTGCTCGTTGATCCACGGCGAGGAGACCTTTTACATTCTCCATGAAAACGAACTTCCTCGCACGACAGGTGTCGGACTTTGGTAGAGAAAAATGTAGAAAGACTAAACGTGCATAAGTGCTGACACATCCTAAGACTGGTGCGCATCAGGCCCCATCTCTGAGGCCACTCGAAATATGTGACGCACGAGGCTCGATCTGTGGTCCAACAAGCCGAGGCCTTTGCCGGCTCCACTCACCCCCTGGCGCGATGGAGGACAGTAGCTGTGCAGGGTTCGAAAGAACAGCTCGGGTCTTGACTCTAAGGGCTCATTCTGTCGGGCTGCTCAAAAACATAGAGAAGGACAAACAGGTGAAGAGTATCAACACAACATGTTTGTCACACCTTTTGAATCCTTTTGATCCCTACTCCATGGTCCTCTCGCTGCTCCCCCCAACTAGATTGTCCAGCTCCGAGCTGCGAAGTTTGGAAAACGTTTTACAATCTGCGACAGGCCTGGCAAGGGAAGCCTCCTCCAAGGCCTTTGGCACCTGATGCACGAGCCTTGCGCCCAGTCAGAGTTTCCACATTTTCATGGATCTCAACCTTTGGCAAGAGCTTGTCCGCTTGTCGGGCAGCCAACACACGTCGGCAAAATGGATGATTCTCCACCTCAAACATTTGTGCTAGAAGAGGGTTAGTAGAACAGAGAGAGAGAGAGAGAACATGAGAGACGCAAGCAGTTAGCTGCAAGGCCATGGCCATCAATGTCGGAAACATGATCCTGAGTCAAGGCAAGGCTGAATCCTTGTTTGGGTGTGGACAGTGGTGAGATGAAGCTTGGATCCACACTCACTGAGTCCAAGGTCTAATCCTCCGACTCCGGTGAAGGTTGACACCATGGGCCACTTATTCTCCTACAAAAACTTCAACTCCACCCACAGATGGGTTGTGCATCACATCCACGCCTTCTGGTGGATATTGGGGAATGCCAACTTGAAGTGTTCTGGATTCACGGCAGATTGCTTCGGTGAAGTCCATCCTTTTGGAAGGCCTCACTCAAGCACGTTCTTTCCTCCGGTCCACTTTGATGTTGATGAGGCCCCAACCCGAGAACCATTCACATACTTCAGCTGAAAGAAAGGTTCCAGGCTTTTTGGAACCCAAGCTGTCTGTATAGTCCTGGGAGAACCTCACCACATTGGCGAGATCCTTGGAGTACGAGCAGCTGTGTGCACCACCCCACAAAATCTTCTCAAGTCTAAGTATAGGGCGCTGATGCCACGATTGGTCACGGCATTTGCAGTGACGCGCAGGCACGCCCCAAAGCAACCTACAGTCATTTCAAAGAAATCAGTTGGTGGCCCATCCAAAACAAGTCTCTCAGTAACTGGCGCAGAGCTGGCCAGGCTTTGAAGGTTTTCCGTCCAAAGAAAACTCCCGATTTCATTCCTGCCCTGGCAGTCTTCGATGACTTGTTGTTCTCGGAGACCTGAGATGGAGATACAAAATACTAAAAGGTTGAACTTCTTTGTAGTCTGAGCCTCAGACTACCACAAGCGTCAATTTTTGGGTTGTTGGCGGTTTGACCTCCCAACAATTCAGTCTTGTAACATTGTACCCCGGGTTTTGCCCAACCTTCATCTCTACCAAATGAAAAGGACCCTTCTTGTTCAGCCGGGCAAGGGCTGCAAAGAGTGGAAGCTTCTCCTTCAAGGCAAGACCGACCGTTAAATGCCAAGATCTGGCCCAAAACAAACAGACCGGCCTGGGAGTCTTTTTTGATGGTCCTTCGAACTGTTTTTGCTCCTGAAAAGCTATTTTGCACCTCGACTCAACGGATAGCCGTTACAATGGGCAAGCATTGGCCACAATCAAGACCCTGGGATAGTGGCTGATGGCGCTGTTCGGGAAACAAAGCTCCATTCTGACCTGTGAGGCTGTGTGGCACCAATGCTTTGAGACAGAGCGGTCATGTCTGAGGCGTGGGCTCACTGTCACTCAGGGCCGCGATGGGGGGCAAGGAGTGCGGTGGCATGGAGGGCTGCTCTCCAAGTCCCGGCTCTAGCTATTGAACCTATTGAACCCAAAACCTTTCACATCCTCAATGACAACGAAAAGCTTATTCCACACCATCAAAACACACAGCGACAAACAAGAGCTCGCAGTTCGGCCTTTTGGGAGACCACAACGGCATGCTAGTTTGCCAGTTGAATTATGGGCCTGTGACTGTGCCCCCACCACACAAAAGAGCGGTCAAAGGGAGCTCAATGACATGGTCATGCTTTTCATGAACGAATTATAGCTAGCAGTCGTCAAAATACTTGGCATTCATTCTACGAAGTCTCTTTTTTGGTGGCTCGGTATTTTCACTTTCACACTCCATGCTTTTCCTTGCCTTATCTATTTTTTTCCAGGCAAGTTCCGCAAGAACCATTCCCTCCAGCTCTTTTGCCTGCGGATTGTTTCATGCAAAACACTCCAAGACCCAAATGCCACAATGAATGAAGGGTTGGCTCCTCGTCTTTCAGAAGCCTCCCGAGCGCGATCTTGATTTGGCTTTCAAGGAACTGGACGCTTTCGGTAGCATCGGGGATGGCAGAAAGTTCTGCTTCACCTGGGCCCATCGGTGATCTATATAATGGGAAACTCCACATGTAAGACTGGGATGAAGGCGGATTTTCAGATGTTCAATCCTCGGCCGCAATCACCCAGGAACGGAAAATGAAAACAAGTCTTCCTGGGCCCTAAGACACTGACTGGTTTCCATACCTTCGGTAGATCCATCGCCAACACTGGCGCTTCATGCTGTCAGGTATGGCGAGCCACCACAGCTGCAGCTGGATGCGGCAGCAAAACAAAACTGCCCAACTGCCAACAGCACTGTTGTCGAGTAGGGACCTGGTTTGATTTAGTGACCTAGATAGGGCGAAAACGTTTTGTCTATATTCATCATCAGCAACCACCAAATGTAGGCCACAAAAAGCATGGG